ATTTCAAATCATCATAGCTGGTGAATTTAAGCAGGATAACTCTGCAAATGTATGGATGAAAAATCTAAGAATACTGCCAAGTAGATTATGAAAAGTGTTTGGCATCAATTCATATCAATAATTATGGATCTTTTGGGCAGGTAGGGACCATTTGTACAGAAAATGAAGTAAGAGCTTGGGCTGTATGGGGCAAAGCACTGCCAGCAGATGAAGGGAGGTGATCCTGCCCCTCTGCTGAGGCCTCACCTGCAGCCCTGGGTCCAGGTCTTGAATGGAGGGGGGAATGAGGATGGAGCCAGTGGTGCCCAGTGCCAGGACCAGGGGCAATGGGTACAAAGTGAACACAGGAGGCTCCCTCTGAACACCAGAAAACACTCCTTGTCAGTGTGAGGGTTATCAAGCCAAAGCCCAGGCTGCTCAGGGAGATTGTGGAGTCTCTCTCCTTGGAGATACTCAAAAGCTGTTTGGACACAGTCCTGGGAAGGCTGCTCTAGGGGGACCCAGCTGAGTGTGAGGGGGGCTGGATCAGATGACCTCCAGAGGTCCTTTCCCACCTCAACCCTTCTGTGTGATTTTGTGATTTTTTTGATTTTGTGATTTTGCAATTTTTGTCCTAGTGGTAGATGTGTTACTGAGTGTTCAGACACTCTGTTGGAAGCTGCTTTAGAAGCCTGTTGCTTCTTAAGGAAAGCATACAGCGTTTATAAATTCATGAGTCGAAAGAAGCACTGGGAATGCATCTTTTTGGGATATACAGTTTAGCAGATGATGACTCTGCTCACGGTGACCACAGTATCCAGTTCCTAATTTGGCTACCAGGAGTGCTTTTTCTTATATTTCTGATATTACAACTTCATTACATTCTGTAGAAAGTAATGTATTTTTATATTTTAATATATATTTTGTGATTTCCAGTGTATGTGATAAGCTATTTCCCACTGATAACTTCACCTTAGGCAGACATGCTCACTGCTTTTTACTTCACTATGGAAAAATTTCAATATTGTTAATCTCCCTATATCATATCTTTGTCTGAATTTACACATGACTGTGCAAGAGAGGGTTTGGGGATTTTTTTGTGGCTGTTCCTCCTCTGTAGGTCCAGCAGGCAGCCTGAGGGTTACAATAATTGACACTTATGAGAGGCAACAGATGGACCTCCACAAAAAAAACCAGAAGCTTCCTTCAAAATATCCTGAATTTGCATCAGCATGCCAGAGGGCTTCCACGTTTTGCATGCTTTTAGGCTTAGATTTTTCACTTTCTTTGCTTCCCCCTTCTTTCAATGGTCTAGATTTTAGGTTATCCTTCTATACCATGATGAGAATGGGAGGAAAGGTAACTTCACCTTAGCATTGAAAGAAAATAATGTCTCCTGGCCCAGAAGCATCTAGTTGTGTCAGCCCATTGCTCTGCCAAAATTTATAAATTTTGTTTCTTCAGCACTGATGAGGTTATGTGGCTGCTAATTTCAGAGTTAGCACAGTGAACCCTGGCTCGGGGTTTTGTGCTGCCCTGTGTTAATGTCACGTTAGGCTCTGGGTCTAACACAAATCTCTCTGCAATAACTTGGAGAACTTTTGAACGTTCAGGCTATTGAAGCCACTGTGTATCTGGCATTTAATACTCTCGGTGAGCATGATCTCTTTCCAAATAACAACAAAAATTGTATGAAGTGTTTTTCTCAAAGATGCTAAGCTGTCACCATTTTGAATGTATTATTAATTTCTTGTCTGAAAATTGAGGTTTCTGTAATGATGATCTGCCTTGCATTTTACAGGTGTTGTGCAGAAAAATTTATTAATCAAAATAAGATATATATTATGCCCTACATCAAATAAATTTAGATCTTAAACACAAAATTTAACTATAGTTATTCTTTACTATTAATTGCATCCCATTCTCTCAAACTTCTCTTGATTCTCCCCTAATTTAACATCTTCAACTACCAATCATTTAAATAGGCACCCAGAATCAGGATGAGATACAAAGTTACTGTTTCACCAATAAAAATATTTTTTAAGAAACAACTATAAAACAGATATAAAAATAGCTTTGCTGTGTTAAAATTAAATAAATGACTGTCAAGCCTATTTCCTGAAGCAGGGTTTAATGTAGTCACAGCTGCAGCATTCTGTGCATATAAAAACCTTTATACCAGTTAAAAAAAAAAGAAGTCACCGTTCAAAAATTTTGCTAGTGAGATATATATCTCGACAGGTATCCAATACTTGCCCCCAGAGGTGTTTCTTCTTTCAGAGGCTCTCACTCCCTACCAAATGTTTGCATTCCCACTCATTTGGACAAAGGTTAGCATGATAAAATGATTTGTTATGCCAATAAAGTTTTTTGTTACACTGTAAAATGGTTTGTTACGCCACTATTGCTACATAAAAATGTTATGAAAATTGAGTAGGTTGTAAGGTTCAAAGAGGAATAGTCTGCTTTTGGGACTAGCTACCAGGAAAAAGTAAAAAGAATGATCTTATGATCTACAGCTCCCCAGACCTTTGAAAAGACAACCTAAATGACCTTTTAACCAACAACTGAAATTGGTACCCCAATTAGGAAAGCAGTTTATGCATCCAAAATGGATGGGAACTTCCTCAAGTCACTAGTACTCAGAAAATGGAAGGAAAATGCAAATTATTTGATAATCCAAGTGGTGAGTTCTGTCTTGTGTGACAGTACATGAAACAAGCCTAAATTATAATTCAGAATGGAAACTGAAGTACAGATTCATGTTATGTTAATCATAACATGTCACAGATGGCACAGCAAGATAGCAAAACTGGAGGAAAACCTTACTTTCCGTACAGTATTTTAATTTTAGCATTGTTAATATCAATCAAAGCAATATCTGAAACTGGCAACTGTTTAATTCACAGTCGTATCTTATAAGTGCCTGGCATATTTTTAATTTTCAATTTAATTAAAATGTTGAATTTTTGTTTAATCCAGCACGGCAATCAGTCACTTTTTCAGAAAGGGAACGCCAGTTATATCTTACACTTTATAATTATTGCAGAATTTATATATTTTTTAATTTTCATTTTTTAGTTTATATATATATTAATTTTGTTTATTCTAATATTATAATATTAATATTTGTGTTCCTGCCATTTGACAGAACTGTATTGCACTGATAAGTGCAGAAGAAATATCTTCCTGTGATCAACAACCAGCTGTATTTCCATCAAATTCTAAGTTTGCTGATAATCACAAAAAATACTAGAAGAGATTTTAAGATATTTTTTCTTATAGAAGTAAGGAAGTGTTTGAAATATTTATGGTTTTCTCCTTTTAAACTACCCACATTTTGTTATCCTTTGTACAGGCTCGCTGGTGCAGAGTGAATGACATTGAGAGGGAAATCTGCTGCCAATGAACTCAAGGGAGAAGCATCCTGCTTTAGGTATCAAGGCCCTACAAATACAAGGAAGGTGCATGCAGTTAAGCCTGACTATGCAGAATTGTTTTGGAAGACCCACTTTCACAGGAATGTTATAATTTATGTTGGCATACACAGGGCTGGGCTGCAAGAGAAGTAATTTTGTTGGAAAAGATCGTGACTCAAATTCTTTGCTGCCTGACTGAAGGATGGTCGGGGAATGCTTGTGTGGCTCTTCTGATGTCCCTGATGCCTGAGAAGCTGACAGACCAAGATAAGAGACACATCTTGTGTAGGTGCAGGTGATGTCACTCGTGTGCAAGCCAAGTGCACCAATTCCAGCCTGGATCATCAAGTGGAAGTTCATTAATCACACATGTACAAGTTTATCCAAGTCTGACTAAAAGGAAAAAGCACTTGGTGTCTTACAAAAGGCATTTAGTACTGGAGAGGAACTATCTTGAACTTTCAGACAGCTGGACAGAATGATAGATGTAACCACATACACTGATTTTTTTTCTTTTGAAAGAGAAATGTCCTTATGCTGAAAAAATGTAAAAATTAAAATTTAAAAATAATTTTAAATTAAGGAGTGAGATTTATTTCACAGATGCTGTTTACTTTGCAAGTGGTAATATAAACCAGGTTGTTAGTAAAACAGCTTGAAATACTGAACAGACCAAAAATATGCATCCCTTCTGGCTGCCCAGACCAGGTAGCTCACCTGACTAGCAGGTGTGGACTGCAGACTGCACCTCTTCTCCCACTGTCTAACAGGCCCTGGTGGCCATGGTTAGGACCACGAGCCATGAGCATTTATTTTCCCAAAATAGGTCTGGACATCCTGGGTGATCGATCCTATGTGCAACCACTTAAAGAGCTACCACTCCTAGCAGCTCATGCCAAACAACCTGTTGATCACAAGCAGAAGCAGCCAACAGACTGAGGAAAAACTGTGGCCAAGACTGGGCTGTTGCTCCCAAAGCAACTCATCGAGTCCCAGCACTTCCCCACACTGCAGGCTCTTATAATAATTTCTTGTAATTGCATTTTTGACTGGTATTACAACAAATGTGGACAATGGAGGTAAAGTGTTCTGACAATGAAGAGTTCAAGGGGACGAAAAATAACATGGCTAAATATGAACAAGAACTTTAATCCCTAATATATTTCTGACCCTTTTCAAGGATTAATCCATAGATGGGTCTGGGAAGAAACTTAGATATGTATCATGTAAAATATGTTTACAATCAGGGCTAAATAAATGGCGTTATTGATTGCGAAATGTGGATATGTTTAGGGAAATTAACTTGAGTCCTTGGCTTTCATCTATTGAGATGTAGAGCAAAGCAAAGCAGACTTGTCCAAAATTAATTTCTACCTATCCCAGCTATGGGCAGAATGGGTACTACACCTGTACAGAGGTTTAAGAGATATAAGAAAAGAACAGTGAACATTTTAATAACATGGATATAATTCTCTAATTCAAAACACAATTAAAAATCTCTGCAGCAATCCATCAGCCACTACATCCCCTTTCCTGCAACAGCAGCAGGCCGTGTGTGAAAGGACTGATGGAATCCCAGTATGAAAAGAAACGTGAACTTACAGAGAGGAGTATTTGGATAGCGCTGTGAATGACCTCTAGGTACTGGAAATCAATGATGCAGCCTGTCACAGAGACGTAGGAGTAATCCTCCAGGATGCCAGGGGAAGAAGGACGCACCACCCTCCGTATGCAGCCCGGCCCGTGCTCCCGCCACCAGGAGCGGTGCATGGAGATGTTGAAGGTCATGAGATCTGTTTCCTAGGAGAGGCAGGGAAAAGTGTGAACACGCTTGACTTTCTGTCTTTAAGGTAAAGAAAGGGGAAACAAAAGATCTTTTCTATTATAAGGGCATTGAGATAATTATTCTTAACCTCACCCCAGTAATTGTAGCATGAAAGTAGAATGTTAAAGTGAAGAGAGGAAATTGCAAACATTCATTGATTATTTTGTAGTTGTTCACAGGAACTTCTGCCTGGCAAAAGAACCATCATATCTGGTACTGTACAAAATACCTGTTCCCTTGGACTAACAGCCTGAAAAGCAATTCTGATGTTGCTTGATTAGAATGTCACTTAAGAACTCTTTTTTTTTTTTTTATAACAGACAACAGAGCCAGTTTTACCACATGCTACTGGAGACAACCTAAATCAAATTTACACCATACTTAATGATTTCCATCATCAGATTCAAATGAGATGTCTCCAGCCAAGCACCCTGCTCTCTTTTTTTCCCTCTGCCCCTCATCCAGATTAGGAACTTCTCAGCTTAGTGAAAGAACCTATATTTGTGAACTATCTGGGTTTAAAATAAAAGCAGTAAGGTCTCTTCACTCAAATCATCTTCCTGATCAGATATTAACCTACCCAGATGGGTACTGGCTGCACCCACACACAATGTATCAAGTCTGTGCATTTTAGTAAACATACCACTTCCACTTGGAGCAGTCAAAGTGGCAAACCTACTGATGTACTAAAGATTTTCTAGAAGGTTACCTATGAAGTACAAACAGGAAAATTCATTTGAATTAACCAAAGATTTGGGTCTTTAGGTCGTGCATAAATAAAATACATTGAAGTTGAATGAATGCCATTTAAATGCAAAAAACCCCAACCCTCCTCACTGGAGATAAATGAGAATTGAGTTTTATTGATACTTTAAATAATTTATTCAGATTTATGTTTCCATGTTTCCCATTCTGAACTCCCAGGAAAATGTCTGTAAAATTGTCAGCCATATGTCCACAAAATACCCCTGTCTTCCATACATGACAGTTTGTGAGCACTGCCATGACACCAATTTTCCCTTTGTATCCCACAAATATGTCCTGTCTGTAGCCATTTACTTCCACCCTGACCAAAGGGAAATTCAGCTAAGATTCCAGTAGTTAATTTGTTATTTTCCTTCGTTAATTGCCTTTATTCTGGCCACACCTGAAAATTAACAAGGGAATTAAATCCTGCCATCCTAACTATATCCTAGTAATCAGTAAGAAACCTGCTTTTGTGATCAGCTGGTTTTTTCTTCATAATTTCTCTACCGTTTAAATACAGATTTGCTAGATTTCCAGATGCATTATTTGGAGTTGATGAGGCATTTGTCTTTTGACTTTGCATGTCAATCCTTGATACTGGTTTAGAAAATTTTCAGCTGCAACATGAAAACAACTTGTGAAATAAGAAGCTGACAGACAACTCAGTTTAATGAAAATATAAATATAGAGTCACAGGAAACAGCCGGGGCTTTCTTTGTACAACAATACCAGAGATTGCAGTGTTATCAAGTGCTTTTAAAAATTGTCAACTCTGAGAAATGCCAGTTGTCAAGCAGCACACACATATTCAACCTAACCTATTTCAGAAGCTCTTTGAAGGGCTTGAGAAGGAGTATGGATTGGTAGATTAGTGTGTATCAAATATGTGAAGCAACACTTTGTTATCACAACTATAGGAATAAGTTCTGATGTTGATGGTGTTGGTGTCACAGCTTTCTTTGCTCTTGAGGGTTTATTTATCTTTTTTTGTTTTGTCTTTATGTTTTTAACAGTATAGCCTATTACAGTGTCCATAGTTGGCTAGTTCAAGGCCAATGACAAAATTCCATAGGGAAACAGCTTGATAAGTTTTGCCAACACATATAAAATACAAGATTTTGACATGTGAACAGTACAAACCCCTTATAAATAAAATCTTTAATTTCTGGAATATTCTTATGTGTAGCTCTTAGGGTGATTAAAAAAAATTGATGGTCATGTTCATGTTTCAAGGCTGTTGGTGATTCAGGCAAGAAGTAAACAGCAAAAAAAAAAAAACAAACCCAAAAGTCATCACAGCATTTGCTACCTTTTAAAAATAAATTCTTATTCAGAAATTCTGGATAATGTCTTAAAGAGGAGATTTTCATAATTACTTTTCTCTTTGTGTCTTACATCCTGAGCTCTCAAAGCAGGTAAAAGCAGATAATGACGGGACAGCAAGGATCAGTTTTAGAAATGCAAACAAAACCACTTGGTACATTAGCTTGACCTCTGAAATATCACTTCACAAAATGGCAGCCATAAGCTGTTCAAGCTGATAAATGTTAAGCTGCCAATTAATAAAAGAAAGCCTGACAACAGGAAAAATCAATTTTTACTTCTTTTCTTTTAGCAGCTGAAACACTTCTCTCTAACTACTTGGAGATTCTTAATCTGTAAAGTGAGTCAAATGCAACAAGAATTAAAAAAATTAACCTGTATCTTTACAGTCATTTACAGAGCCATAGAAAATTCAAAGACTTTGCTGGGATGTACAGGTTTTAGATATCAGTGAACTCCTGAGAGTGTTTTGGTGTTTGTAAATTCAGAGCTTGGAAACCCCGAGCATGCTAGAAAAGCTGCTGCCCAAGTGGCTTATTTTCAGTTCTACATTTAATGAAAGTCAAGAATTTTCAGAAAGTACAAGCAGATGCATAAAGTTTTCCAATAGATCATTTACTATTTTGCAATTTTTCATATTAAAAAAAATTGTATAAAATATTTAATCATCAGCAAGTGACAATTCAAATACTTATTCCTTAGAAAAAAAAATGCCACTGCTTCAAAGCAATTTCAGGCTCTGTACAAGAGAAACCAAGTTGTCGTTGTAACTAACCCAGTCAGGATTTATTTAACAGTTGGAATTTCAATCATGGATGGAAAATTGCTCTCTTCTGAGCATATATCTTGACTTTAATTCCATACATCAGTGGTTAAACTATACTTCCTCAGCTGATAACCTCTCAGATAGACACCATGAACAGAGAGAGGGCAGATCACAGGTAACAGGTCTTCCAGGAAACTTGTGAGACTTAGGGAAGTGGCACAGGGAAGTGAAATCCTGTCTCCACTCCTCCCTTCTTTAGTCAGCATTAAAGTAATACTCCATTCTGTGGTGAAAAGTTTGCTCCTGAGTATAGGATCAGCACCATAATCATACTTTACTGATGTAGAGTCCCATTTAAATGTCTACGGCTTTTTAAGCCTTTAAACTATATATAGGATTTGCGTTGGCTGTCAGCCCAAGGATTAATTTTGATTATTATTGGAAATCATTGCTATGGCAGATACATTCTTTTAAGGTGGGATGTAATCCCTGTGCATCTGAATAATACTAAGTGCTTGGAGATAATGTTTAATTTCATTATGTCTGCTGAAATTCTACATTCGGTTTCAAGTGGATGTTTTTTATTGGGCAGGGCTTTGAGCAACCTGATCTAGTGAAAGATGTCCCTGCCCATAGCAGAGAGGTTGGTCTAAATGACCTTTGAAGGTGCCTTCTGATTCAAAGCATTCTGTGATTTTTTTGATTCAATTTTTAGGCAGTGAATCTAGGTAAAATTTAACAAATGGCTTATTTTAAAATAAGATGGCTTATTTTAAAACTACAGAGTAATATCAGGTATGATGTTCCTTTCATTTATTTGTTTAAAATTTACAAACAATGTCTATAACAACAACATACACAAAACAAAGAGAAATTAAGATTACCTAAAATCACTTGTTTTAAAGAAAACAAACAGAAGACACTGAAACTCCAGACAGAAAACCCAATGCACCAATGCCTTGCATAACAAACAAATATTATGCTGTGACATGATTACCACCACAGATATTTGTTCTTTCAGCATATGTTTCTGCTTTATGATGTGTTATTTGATATTTCTTTCATTCCTTGCTAGTATTTAAAAATATGCTCTTATGAAAAGTATAACAAAAACAGTGTGTTGAGCAGGATGGAGAAAAAGCACTTTTTTTTGCTTCAGAAAACAGCAGTCAATTGAAATTTTATAGACAAGTGAAAGAGCACAAAGGTCTGGCAAAACATAATGTTAGAGATCTTGACTTTATTGTTGCTTCTGTGGTACCTAGCTCTCCCTAAAACTTTTTATTTTATTGATACATACTATATTGCTTATTATAAATGGACATTAGGCTGAGGCATTAAATATTCCTATTCCATTTCCATCTGAACTGGATGTCAGACTAGACATAGCAAATTCATCTCCATACTAAACCAGGGGAATCATGCGATGCATCTAAATTAATTTCCACTAGAAGAGAAAATTCACAGTATAAAAATAAAAATTCACAGTATAAAATTCACAGACATAGGCAATGAGGTAACCCCAACATCATGGGCTGAGAATGGTTAAAAGAGGTACAGAGGCAAAGTAATTTTTGGTTGGTGAGATTAGAGGCTCATGGCTCCCACTTAAAGAGATTCGTTTCATAGACTGTAATCATGGCATCAGACCATGGCTAAAGGGAAAGATTTCCCTATCAAGCATAATTACTCTTAGAAAGTTACACTGATTTGCTCCATTTTTCTTCCAAATCTATCTACACTACAATACTTTTTAACCAAAAGACTACCCTCCACATCTACAGCCCTCCAAAAAAAAGGTGTATGAGTTAATCTTAGCAAGTACTGGCTTCTTCTTCTTTTACTGCTTTTATTCCTTGGGCTACAGAGAGTGTTATCAGATTTTTTTTTTTTTTTAAAGCAGACATAATATTTTTGGAAATTGATTTGGAAATTAGGCAGATGATCTACCTATAAAAATAGTTTCCTTGCATTGTTTTATTTGCTACAAGCTCAGGGAACAGTATACTCTTTTGCAAAACAAGCAACTTTAAAGTTAGATTTACCAAACTTACTAGAAAAGTAGAATGCAATGGAATGTCTCTAGGAAGCCAGAAGGCAAGAAGCCAACAAGAAAAACATACTACTGTCTTCTTCATG